AAGGGGATGAAGACTGTTTTGGACAAACAACAGAAATAAAATTGTCTCATCCACCAACGCTTGGATCAGCAGGATGAAAGGATTTTAGCTTAGACGACTTCTTTCAAGGAATTGTCAAATGCATTGTTGAATTTCATGGAAAAGTTTTACGAGAAGGATGATGCTTAGAGCCTTAGTCCTTTGTATTAGAACTTAATAATAGATTTTCTTTTGTTTCTAAAATAATTGGATCTTTATCCTTTTGGTTTTTAATGAAAAATCAATTTGTCTTTTAAACCTTTTTTATTTCTGGCAAAGGGGGTGAAAGAGTATATGATTTTGATAGTACTTAATCTCATATCTAAAACCCAAACATGATATAATAATTTTACTGCTAACCATCTGTTTGATGTTTGACTCAGGAACTCTTCAAAATTTCATTGGTTTTCATAGACATCTTAAATTGGCTATCAGAAGATTATCATCTGTCAACCAGAAGATCAAGATCAAGATCAAGGTGCATGAAGAATGCTCTGATAAGCTTAGCATTTGTGAACATGTATTCGTTAGAAGTTGTGAGTTGTCTAAAATGAATCATGATCAGACACTATGATTTGTTCATAGGGCTCTGACTAAGTTAAAGGTTGTAATAGGCTCTGATATACCCATTGTTCAGAAGTTCATGAAAATATGGTTAAATTAAGCACTGATACTCTTACTATTCAAGAAGTTGTGAATTGTCTGGAAGTAAGGAAATCGTGTGTTGATAATACCTATTGTTCAAGAAGTAGTGAACTTCGTGAAAATATAGCTAAATCAAGCTCTAATACTCCTATTGTTCAAGAAGTTATGAACTTTCTGAAAGTAAGGAAATCGTGTGTTGACAATATCTGTTGTTCAGAATTTGTGGACTTTATGGAAATATGGTAATCAGGATCTGTTGCTTCAGAAGTTGTGAACTGTCTAGAAGCTTAACAAAGTTGATGTGTTACTTAGCATTTGCTTTAAAAGTTGTGAACTATCTGGAAGCTTAGCAAAGTTGATGTGTTACTTAGCATTTGTTTCAGAAGTTGTGAACTATCTGAAAGAATATCAATATGTGATATGGTAACTTTTTCTCCACTATCTGAAAGTTTTATAACCAGGTTACGTTTTAACCAAATTCTGATACTTCAGAAGTTGTGAACTTTCTGGAAGTATAATAAGTGTGTTATTAACCAAGCTGTTTTAGAGATTGTGAATCTTCTTAAGACATGTTAAGATGACATGGTCTAAAAACATGGTCTGATACATGGTCCAAGACATGGTCTAAGACATGATCGAAAGACATGGTCTAAGACATGGTCTAAGACATGGTCTAAGACATGGTCAAAAGACATGGTCTAAGACATGGTCTAAAAGATATGTTCTAAGACATGTTTTGAGACATGGTCAGAAGACATGTTTAAAATACATTGTCAGTTAGGAAAAAGTTCAGGTGTTGAACCTTCTAATGACATGATGATGTGCACCTTCGGATGGCACGATTTTAGTTTCTGGAAAAATCATTGTATTAGTTATGATGTTTGATGCAAGTCATCAAGACAATGACTAAACATGTTCTAGTGCCTCATAGTGTTCTGATAGTAATCCAGGTTCTAAGATGAAGACCAGGTATTTCTAGTCAGACCCTGATGAGACGTCAATGGAGAATTATTCCTTCTTTATGTTACTTTGTGTACTTCAAAATTCATTTTGTGAGTCTTGGGCTCAGGGGGAGACTCTGAAAAAGCTTTAATGAAATTTTGAGTATTAACAAATTGAGAGGGAGCTGGTTAGCTTTATTGAATTTGCGTTCCATGGTGATTACCCTGTATGAATGGTTCTATCAAAATACATGGTTTTGTCATCATCAAAAAGGGGGAGATTGTAAGAACAATATTGGTTCTACATCTGGCCTTATGCTTTGGTGATAACTTTACATGTTATCTTTAAGAACAATTGTGTACTCTAACGGTTTCGGTCTAGTGTGTGGCTTTTTCTATACAGATTCCGACTCTGGTAAGAAGGCATGTAACGTCATCATGTTCTGAATTCAACACTCTAGAAGAATACCTTTGGTGTATTACAAGTTAAGTCAAGATTAAGGAATATGTCATATGAAACGGTTCTAAGGAACGTTAGTAAAAGAGCTTCTGATTGTGACTTGTATAAGGAAGATTTAGAGGCCTTCTAAAGATTTACTTCTGATGCTCCAAGTTCTAAAGATGTTGAAGACAAGGTTCTCTTGAACGAGTTATGAAGATCTATATACATTCTTCTGAAGATCAAGTGCTAAAGACTGACAAGGTAAGAGTTCTCTGAAAAAGCTTTGTAAGGTTCTAATAACTTAGGTTCTGGAAGATATATAGTTATGATCCTTCTACAACATGCTTTATCAACAAATAAATCAAAAGCCTCTGAAGACATAGAAGACGAAGATCAAGACTAAGGGATTGTGTGTGATAGTGAGTATAAAAGTACAAAAGTACTATGTGACCCTACTCTCTAGAGTGGCGCAAAAATATACCTTTTTGTATTGTTGTCTACCAGTCTCACCATGATCGTTGGGAACAATACAACTGTATTTGGATTTCCTATTCTACTACCCTCCAATGGATCTCTTATTTTCAGCTATAAAAGAAGTACTTGGAGAAATTTGAAATCAACGAATCAGTTCAACAAAACAGCACTAAACCGCTGCACAAAAATTCTGTAGAGAAATTATTTGTATAATTTTGTAAATAAGTAAGGAGCTTTTATTCATATCTTGCTATCAACACTTTTGTGTTGCTGTACTTAAAAATTGTGTAATCTGCTTGTGTAGAAACATCTTTGTATACACATTTTTGTAAATCAACTATTGTTGATAGGTTCATTGAGTGATCGAGTGAAGGTTATGAGACTCAAGAAGACTTTGGTTGCGGTCATAGTGGTTTGCAATAAGGATCAATAAACTTATTAGAAGTTTCAATAGGGTTGATCAAATTTATTGTGGTTGTCTGTAATCTGGTTGATAATAGGGGATTAAGTCCTTGTGTATAAGGCAAATCACATTGCAAGGTGGACTGAAGTAACTTAGTTAACAGTGAACCAGGATAAAAATAATTGTGTTAATATATTTTTATTCACTTATTATCTTTGTGGTTGAGTTGCAAAAAGATTATATTTGGTGCAACCCAATTCAAACCCCCTTTCTTGTATTTCTCGCACCCCCAAACATATCCGACGTAAAATCTATACAAAATAATGGCGTCTTTTAGGTTGCAAAAATAATAAAAAAATTAGGGAATTTTTATCTCGGTTTTACTGAAAATCGAGGTACCATGTTCGACGTAAAATCAATAAAAAAATAAAGGTGTTCTTTTAGTTTCATAAATAACATTAAATTGCAGGAGATGGGAATTGAACCTCAAACCCTAAGCATATATTTATGTCGGTTTTATTTAAATTCGAGAGAATAGATTTATTATTATTTAAAAAAAACAAGGCGCTCACCTGCTCACATGAACCCGTATTTTTTTATTGTACGTGATAAAAACTTCGTCATAAAAAATATGATTTACTGTAGTGAAGATATCAAACTGGATATGAGGAGTTTAAGATTGAATATTGCAAGACTGAGATACAACTATATATATTCTAACCAACCCATTAAAGGAAGCAAGATTTGAATGTCTGGAAGGATTAATGGAGATGAGATTATTACTTCATATGAATTAGGAAGAGTGTATATTGTGGGCTTAGAAAACAGATACATGGAGGAACCAATATCATGTCATTCACTTGCAACTAAAAGAATCCTCAAATATATCAAAGGCAATGCAAATCATGGAATACTCATGTCAAATCAAAAGAGCTCAAGAAGGGAGGCACATGTATATGTGTATTCTGATTCATGTTGGGGAGGATATCAAGATGAAATTAAAAGTACACTTGATTACTACTTCATGATTGGAAGAACTCCAGTATCATGGAATATCATGGAACTCATAGAAACAAGAGATATTAGCTCTATAACCGTGTGAATCACAATATGTGATAGACTCCTATGCATCATGTCAAACATTGTGGATTGAATTGATGTTGGAAGAGATGAATGTTAGTGAAGTTTTGAAGATCAAACTGTTAGTTGAGAGCAAATCAACAATTAATCTAGCAAATAATCTAATGAGTTATAGAAGAAGCAAACATATAGAGAGAAAATATTATTTTCTAAGAGACTAATTTAACCAGGAGAAGTTAAAGATCGAATATTATAAGACTGAGATACAATCAGCTGACATTCTAACCAAACCATTATAGAAAGAAAGATTTGAAGGTCTCAAAGGGTTGATGTAGATGAGAAGATTAGGTTATCTAAATTAGAAAGAGTATTAGCAAAGTAATTTGGCCATATCGATAGTTTGATTGTGCTGCAAGTAAGTGACTTGCAATACAAGCAAACTCTCACAACCTGATAGTTTTGAATTTTAATTGCTTAGTTAATTTATTAATTCTATATACTCTCCCCAGTCATTGTAATCCACTAAGATCTATTGAAAAAAACACTCTTCACTCTAATTTCATTCTAACTCTCTTTAATTTTATCTATCCTTTTTTATGTCCATTAACTTGTGAAACAAGTTATCTTAACACATAATTTTTTAATTAGTGTGATTTTGAGATCATGGACAATGATAACTTAGGCGGGCTTATTGTGTGTGAATGTTTGGTTAAGTGTTAGTGATTGAAAAGAGAAGACACATGGTTTATGTTTAAATAAACATACACAAAATGTAAAGGTAAAACACAGAGGAAAATTAAAGATGAAAATGTAAATGTGTTGAATGCAAATTTACCGTAAATTTAAATCAATTGAATTAAGAGAAAATTTTAAAATGATACAAAATAGATTGCACCAAATAGATTACATAAAATATATGTGTGAAAAAAAAAAAAGGTAAGAAATATAACAAACTACTATAAAGTAATGAAATATAACATTATGATTAAATTATTGACTAAGTTCTCCTATGAAACCTCAAGATGGGAAGAATCACTATTAGCAATAGAAATGCTAGTGATCCAAGCAGAGACAAAATAATTGAAGCAGCCACTTGATGACAAAACTTATCAAACACATCACACACTTTGTTCCATCTTACATGAGAGTTTCCGTTGTAGCCAAGAAGACCAACTGCGGCGGCAGCACCGTTGCCGGAAAATAGAAAAGCCACCATCAATGTGTCAAGAATAGTGATCAATGTTCCCAATAACACTTTGCTTTTACCTCTATCTAAGAAGGTGACTACCATAGATATGGCTCCATATGCGCATGCTATTGCATTTGCCACCATAAAGTAGCTTCAACAAAAGAAGAAAAAAAAAGTGTTACTCACTTTTTAAAACAAGGAAAAATACTATACAACATAGCCATTTTAAACTTTCGAAAATTTCGTGTAAATTAATCACAGTTTAACTGAAATAAAATAAATAAAATTTTTATGTTAATATAGTTTAACCGAGACAAATATTTAAATTTTATATATTAGTCTGTCTTAGGGATGGAAAAAAAATCCGTATCCGCGGATAAAATCCGTTACGGATATGAGATGAATAATTTAATGGATATCCGTAGATAAAATAAATAGATATTTAGATACTCGTTATTTAACAGATATAGATACGAATTTAATAATATTCATACCCGCAGATATCCGTATCCGTTAATTAATTATAAAATTTATTTAAATATTTATATAATTTACTGAGTCTTATCATCTTTCAAAAGAATTTGTTTTTTTTTTCTACGTTTTCTTTAAAAAAAATTATATTCCATAATATATTATAAACCTTACTTTTCTATTTCATAATTAATTCATTTATATTTTTGGTGAAAAAGACAAATATTAATATGATGAAATTTTGTTATTAAATTGAGACTAAATTGTATAAATGTTATATGATAATAACTTTTTTTTGTCTTTAAAAAAAATTGAAAAAATATATATTTTTTTTAAATAATTTTAGAATAAAATGTTATCCACGAATATCTGTAAATATCTGCGGTATCTTAAAACCCGTGAATTACTCGCTTAGTAGATATCCACATGGATACGGGATGGATATGAATATCATATTTATCTAACAGAACAGACAAGGATATCATATTATCCGTCCCCATGAATATCTATTTATATCTCCTATGTCTTACACGTTCTCAACATAGACAGCCTGCTATATGAAATTTCCTTAAACAATATAATTAAGAAGAAATAATAAGAACTTACACAAAGGCAGAGAGGTAATGCCACTTAGCAGAAACAGGAACATTGAAAGGAGGCAAAGAATCAACAATCTTGATTGGAACAACTTTGGTTTGTTTATCCATTCCAATAACTATAGCAGCAGCAAGGGTGAGAACAAAGGCCAAAAGCCTAAGAATCAATTCACAAGAACCACTACTCTTAGAAGGTTTTTTCCCTTCTATACCAGCAAAGATAGCCTTACCTTGATCCTCCATTGTAGCAGGAGCGCAAACCTTAATTATGTTGAAGTGGGTTTTCACAAAAGAAGCTTAGTATACGTCTTAAATAGATAGTGATGGAACTTAGAAATATGGGAAGTTTGTATTAAATATGAAAGCCGCAAATATTGTTGACCAATATGTTATGTTCATTTTTTTTTTTAGCGGTGATTTTTGTAAAATACAAATTAATGTTTTAAGTAATGTTAAAATAAATTTAATTTCTTAAATAGGGAAGAATAATTCATATTTATGCCCCGTCTGAAATTTAACGTATGGTGTGTCTTTTTCAAAGGTGCTTGTTCCTACACTATACATTAATATTCTTAATAATTTCTTTCTAATATAGTAGCACGAGTCTTTAGTTCGAAAAAGAGACCGAAAAAAACTTTTAAAAAGAATATTTTTTAATCTGAAAATTTAAGAGTACATATAAGTATTTTAATGATTTCGCAGTTTTTTAGATTTATAGACAAATTAATTTATATAGATTTTATTGAATTAAATGTATTTTTGGTTTAAAATTTGATTTTTTTTTAATTATAAATAAATAATATTTTCTAAGTTTTTCTTAAGTTACCCTATTTTTTAGAGGACTAAAAAATCCCATGCTCGCCATTTAAGATGGCTATACCTTATGCTAACTCTTTTTTTTTTCTTTTTATTTATTTATAGAATTTAAAGATGGTGTACTGTTGATAAAATAATTCTATACATATAATCAATTAAAATTTTTATATTTGTTATGTTATTTTAGTATTTTAAAAATTAAAATGAAATTTATTGTAATGCATGTTCTTTATTGGTTGAAAGTATACAAATATTTTATATTATTATATTTTTTTTCTTATTTATATATAATATTGAAATATTAATAAATTACAATTATAAAATATGCACCTTCATTTTATGTTGCTCTATCAAACAAGTTGGTTATTCCGATATATCTCGGTGAGAGTCAACTTAAGCTTGATTCAGTCTCTTTAGTGCATTTCAATCATTTAGAAACATTATAAATTCAATGCATAAAGCCTTCAAATAAACTAGAGTGGTATAAATATATTTATTAGTGGTGTTCAGATTTTGCAGATTATTGGATCTCTTGGATTCAAAGTTGAAATAAGAAAAAAGTCACAAAAACAAATGGATATAGGCTGAATGATCCTGCTTAATTACAACCATTCATTTCAATCTATCACATACAGTCAACATCATTGATTAATATGTGAATGGCTAAGATTTGAAGTTGGGCCAAATACATGAGTAGAGTAGGAGATGATTTGTTTCCAAAACAAATTGTAAGGTGCCACATAACCACGACAACACAAATAACAAGATTTTGTAAGATATAATATATTATTCTATTTATTTTAAAATTATCTGTTTTAAAATTAAAATGAGTGTAGTTTAAGATTTTTTTATACGAATTAAGAAATACAATAATATTGTTATAAGATATTGTATTTTTATTAAATTAACTTCATTAATATATTAAAAGTAGTGTAGAGATTAATAATTAAAAGATACAATTGAAAAAATAGCAATCATTACTATATTGAAAAGTGAGAATGACATATATTTTAAAATAATTTTTTTCTCTCTTAAACAACACTCATACTTGACACTTTCACATAGATAAATGAAAGAGAAAGAATAATGATTTTATCAAATTATCCTGATTAACGATTGATTTATTTGAATTAGCATTAATACATAATGAGAAACCAATAAATTAAATGTATTAATTAGAGGGTACAATTGAAAGATAAAAATGACAAATATTTTAAGACAAATAATTTTTTAAAATGTGATACTTAATTTGAGACCGAGAGAATAATATATAATATTTATTAGGAGAAAACTTAAATACAATTTTTTATGTGTGGTTTATATTATTTTTTAATAAAAATACAATAAATATACTTAAATATTCTTTAAGAAATGAAAATAAAAAAAAAATTATATATGTATAAAAAAAATTATACACTTTTCATATTTTTATTCAAAAATAGTATAAACCACACTAGGAAATTATATCTAAGCTCTCTCCTATTTATTATTATTATTATTATTATTATTATTATTATTATTATTATTATTATTATTATTATAAATTAATATATTTTACAGCTAATATAAAATAGTCAATAAGTAATATTATTATTTTTTTATAAAATATAAATAAAATATTTAATATAAACTCATTCGCATAGAATTCTCAAAGATATTTAAATATTGTTAAAGAAGCAACCAATATAGAGGATTATAGAAAAACAAAAGTAAACAACAATAATCACCATGAATTTTTGTTAATGCAATTCGGTCAATAATGTCAATCTCTCTAAATATAGAGCAACTATAATTTTCTTAATTGTTGTTTACTAATTAGAATTACAATGTTACAAATAATATATACAATAGCACAATTAAATTTACAATATTACCTTTGAACTATATTGTCGGGGCTACTATCCCTATATTTTCAACATAGCTTTTCTATCCGTCATAATTTTCTAGATCTCCTATCTTTGTGAATTTTCATATAAAGAATCTTCTTAGCAACACTTAAGTCTTTTGTATCATGTAAATGATTATCACCAATCAACATATCCTCAATATTTAGTAACCGTAAAAGAGTCATAATTAAAACTCTTAACATAAACACAACATTCGTACTCACATAATTTCTATCCAATCTAAAGCATGCACGAATCAAAGTGTCTGTACCATTGAATTGGATACTACTTTAAATCATACAAAGATTTATTTAATTTACAAACTAATCTGTCATGTTCAGTGTCGCTGAACCTCTCTAGTTGCTCCATGTAAATTTACTCATCTAGATTGCAGTGAATAAAAGTTTTCTTCACATCTATCTAATCTAAATGAATGTCATGACTGAATACTATGACAAACACTGACCTGATAGGAGTACACCTGATGACCAAAGATAAAATTTCATCATAGTTACTCCCTTTCTATTATGAGTATCACTTTGCTACAAGACGAACCTTGAATGTTTCCCCTTATTTTTCTGTTACTACTAGTTTTTTCTTGAACACCCAGTTATAATAGATAACCCATTTTCCCTTTAGGAAGCTGAACAACTCATGTATTATTTTTCTTCAAGGAATATATCTCCTCCACCATTCCACCCATCTACTTATCTTTCTTCTAGCTAGCTATAACATCTCGAAAGGTGTAAGGGTCTCCATAACTAGTATGAAATGCATAAAGTGTTAAGTCTTCATACTCATATTATTATGTTGGCTTAGTTGAACAGTGCTCACTATCACGTACAAGAATATAATCTTGTACTCCACTTAAGACTTCAGTTCCATGGTCAATTTCAATACTAGAGCCTAGTTTATGTTGTGGTTAGGCACTACCTACATGTTATTCACGTGTGCAGATACATATCCATTGCAATTACCTATTTGTTAGAAGTTTCTCTTTTAGATGTTGAAATATATGTTACAAGTGACTGCTTAAACATTAATTTCTCATAAAAACAACATCTCTATTGATTACCATATTCTTTTTAATTGAATCCCATAACTTGAACCCCTTCACACCTTTTTTGCAATTAAAGAAGATACATTTCTTTGATTTTGGATCAATTTTAGATCAATATTCATTGGATATATGCACATAAGCTAGACACCCACAAATCCTTAAATTGTCAAGATCAATTGGATTACCTATCCATGCCTCTTTTGAAACCCTTCCTTCCAAAGAAGTTTGTTATGACTTGTTGATAAGAACGCATGCCATGTTAACTTCCACTGCTCATAAACATTTTAATAGTCCATCATTTAAAAAGAGATATCTTTCCCTTTCTGTTAGAGACCTATTCATTCTCTCTAACACATAATTTTCATGAGAAATTCCTTTGAAGATACTGTTCTTGGCATAAAATCTAGAAATTCAAATTAGTGTACTTTGTCCCATTTTCTAACTGCAAATACTTGATTTTTCTACCTGTTTGGTTCTCTACCTTTTCCTTTCATAACTTGAATCTGGTAAAGACTTCAGATTTATGCTTCAAGAAATACACCCCAGCCTTGCGAAAAAAATCACATGTGAGAGTCACAAAATACCTAGAATCACCCATGTAAACTTCTTTGGTAGGTCACCACACATTATAATGCACATAGTCTAAAATTCCCTTTGCTTTGTGATTTATGTTGTTGAACCGATCACGAAAATATTTCCCAAGTACACAATGTTTTCACAAATCCATGTTAAAACTGCAAACACCCTTCAATATATTTATCTTATTAATTTCCTTCATCCACACTCATTGACATGACCCAAACACATATGCGAGAGTTTGGTTGCATCATTATCAAACTCAATTGATGCAACATCGCCTACAACAATGTTCCCCAATAGCTTATAGATGTTACTTGTATTACTCCTTGCTCTCATCACATTCAAGGCAACCTTAGTAACCTTCATAATATCCTTATCCCCATCATACATGTAGGAGAAACCATTTTCATGCAAAGTATCTAGGAAAATCAAGTTCTTCCTCAATTTTGGAACATATTAAACATCGTTTAATATTCGCACGCCACCATCTTCCATGTGAAATTTAATTTGTCCCATGATAGTAATAGTACATGCTTTATCATCACTGAGATAAATAAATTCGAAATTAGCTGAACTGAATATAGTGAATCATTCCCAATGCGACATACTGTGATAAGAACAATTAAAGTCAAAAGTCCATGCAACTGTGCATTTGCTGGATGAAACACACAATATATTTGCTTTACTGCTAGAATCATTAGTTTGAAAAATATTTGTTGAATTGGATAAGCCCTGCTTTTTGTTTGGACAACCCCTCTTCTAATGTCTAATATGTTTGCAACAATGACACTCAATTGTTTTCTGATTCTTGGATTTAGACAACTTCTTTTTAGAACCTACTTTACCCTTGTTCTGCCCACGATCTTGACCCCCCATCACATATAGACAATCACTTTGAGTTC